ACTTACTTACTTACATACTTACATACGTACACACGCATATGCACATAGAGAGCGAGAGAGAGAGAGACAGAGCGAGAGAGAGAGAGAGAGCGAGAGAGAAAGAGAGAGAGAGAAAGAGAGAGTGTGAGAGAGAGAGAGAGAAGGAGAGATAAAGATAGAAACATAGTCCTGAAGGCCGGAGACCCCCCGCCCCGCCTCCCGCCCTCTCGGCAATCGAGGATTGACGGTTGTTGCCAGGGCAGTGGAAAAAGCCAGCCGCGATATCGTCAAGTCCTTTCTGCAGCTTTGCTGCCATCTGGGGGTTTCAGAAAATAGGGGACCCTAATATAGTACCCTAAATAGTAGGATCCCTATAAGGACCCCCTATTTTCGGAAACTCCCATCTCGGATTTTAGATGTTGTAAGGCCAGATTTAGGTGGTCTTTAGCCCTTTTCGCCAAACACTGCGGTACGCACTATGGTGTAGGGGCCGGGCAAGGTACGTAATCTGTCAGACACAACAATACGCACCATGGTGATCTTACATTGGGTTAAAACGGTGCCTCTGAATCCCGCCGGTACACTGGCGAAAGCAATTTGGATAAATTGCCATGATATAGCCATCGGTGGGCCATGGTCTAGTCTACACCAAAGCCTTATTTAACGTATTATCCCCTTTATCTTCAACCCTTAGTGTAACCTTCATCGCACCCTTTGGACCCCGACAGTTTAAAAGCCACCCTATTCTAGTTGGTTAGTATCAGCCTATAATCTCCATTGTAATTAGTTGCTTTTTTGGTTCAACTGCATATATGTTAAGGAGTTTATAAGGTATTCCCGAAAAGGAACTACAATGGAGACTATAGGTTAGGCCCCGGAAGCCTAAGCGCCAAGGAATTTAGGAGGGACGCCTAATAGGGACCCTTAATCCCATTTCCTTAAATAACCATTGTTTGGGAGTTTCCGAATATAAGGGGTACCTTATTTTAAGGGTCCTTATAATAAGGATCCTACTATTTAGGGTACTATCTTAGGGTCCCCTATTTTCTGAAACAACCCCAATAACCTACAAGGGTCCCTATTAAGGGTCCCTCCTGAAGCCATTAGATGAGAGCCAAGGAGGTTGCGAGCGGGCTTTCGGCCTCTGCATCGCTCTCCTCACGCCCTGGCGCAGGTGAGGCTGTCAGCTTCAAAAGGAGTACTCTTCCCTTTAGGGTTTAGGGTTTAAGGTGTAGGTTGGCAGGAGGGCCGCTAGTAGTTATCCTAGCTACCTTGGGTCTTGGGTTTGGGGGTGTGTATAAAGCCGGCGTTTCTTGATTAGGCATCCTCATTGGTTGCTTTCCTGTCGTGCGATTGTTGTGCTCAGGAGTCAATAAGTACAGGGTAGTACAGGCTTGATAATACAAGGGCCTATAAATAATTACCTACTCTATTTGTATCTTGTTGTTTTTTGTGGAGGGGGGGTGCTTATTATAATTATAGTATGCTAGACTCCAAAACCCTATTCTAATGAATAAGGCCCCTAGCATAGAACCCTATTATAGATACCTTTTTCGGGCCCTTTAAGGAACCCTTTAAAGCAACCCCCCAAACCCCTTTCTAGTTATTAAAAACCCCCACATTAGCTTCTCTAAACCCTGAACCCCAAAACCCCTAAACCCCAAACCCCTAAACCTTAAACCCCTAGTTATTAAGGCCCCTTAGAATTATGTTCTTCAGTGTCCTTCTGAGCCGGCTCCAGGCTCCTTTGGATGCGTCTCCGCCTATCTTGGAGCCCCACTCTGGGTACCTGCGACACCCCTACACCCTTAGGGCTCAGGGCTTAGAGGGTTTAGGGTTTAGGGTTTAACCTTTAGGGTTTAGGGTTTAGGGTTTAACCTTTCGGGTTTAGGGTTTATGGGGTTTAGGACCCCAATCCCTAAACCCTAAGCCTACAGCTGATAGCCGAAAATAGAGGCCTTTCAGGGGACCTCCACGAACCTCATCTTTGAAGAATCGCTGCGCTCAAACCTTCCAGTCCTCAAGATATACATATATGATCATATATGTAAGTTACATATGTGCATATATATGTATACATATATATATATATATGTGCACACATATCTCTCTGTACATATATATATATATATATACATGTATATATATATATATATCTATATATATATACATGTATATATATATATACATGTAAAATATGTACATATATATATATATATACATATTTGCACAGGCATGTACATACCTGTACAAGCAGCATTGTTTGCAGCCAAAGCCCTCAGACCTTTACTGCCCTCAACCTTTAAGCCACCGAATTACCAGACCCTGAAAGCCAAGTCCCATGATCCTCTAAGTACATCCCAAATCTTAAGCCCTAGGCTGCTCCCTAAACCCTAAACCCTAAACCCTAAACCGTGCTCTAAACCTTAGCCCTGGTCCAGAGTTAGCCTGAAAGGCCAAGAAGGTGAACCGCGGCCTGCGGTCCAGCCATGCCCGAAAGAAGACATTGTCGAAGATCTTTGAGGTGCAGAGACATCTGCATCTCGTCAGCCGCTTTTTCTATGGCTGGGGCCTATACATATACATTTATATTTATATTTATACTTATTTATTTGTTTGTTTATATGTTCATGTTTATTTAAAAAAAGACAGATAGATAGATAGATAGATAGATAAATAGGGGTATAGGGTGTTTTCGGGGTTGGCTTTCAATGGGACTTCTCACCGCTGGGGCTCCATTATAATAGGGGTCCTCACGCCAAGGATGTGCGTTTTGGGCTTAGGGTGATGTGTGGGCCCTTTATTTGCCGAGGTTGCCGCTCGTGCTAGATTCAGTCGCCCAGCAGGACCCTTTAACACTTTACGTTCTTTGGGGGGTCTGGGGGCCCGTGCAATCCTAGAATATTTTTGACTCCTTCTTTGTTCTGGTCAGGTTTCGTACCTTGTGGAGCTTACGGAGGATTATCGGGTTTTGGCCACTTAGATCCCTGCAAACAAACACCGGACTCGCCGGACTAGATCCTAGCTTGCTCAACATTGTAATTTGGTTTCATTGGCTTTCTACGCCCCAACTCTACTCTCGTTCTCCCTAAACCTGCCGATTCTTAAACCCCCAAAACCCTCTAATTGCCAAGCTTTCAACCCTGAGCTTGCAAAGCCTGCGTTTTTTGGACTGTATACCAGTCGCCCTGACTGGCGCTTCGAGCAACAATGCGGGAGTGCGAGCATCCTCAACGCTGGTACCTTCTATACCCTACAATCAGGGTTTAGGGTTTAGGGTTTAGAAACCCTAAACCTCATGCTCTGCACCTCCTCAGGAGCTGAGTAGGTAACCTTTAGCCTTTCGAGGGGCTTATATGATCCTACTATAACTCAAAAGGTTAACCTTTTTTGGGCTAGGGTACTCAGCCCCTAAGACATACCCTAAACCCTAAAGCTCATGCTCGGCACCTCGAGCAAAAATAAAACGGCCTCCAGGGTTTAGGGTTTAGGGTGCAGGGGTTCAGCAAGCCTGAGTGGTGCCGAGAACCAGCGTCTCCATCGCTGAAATTGCTAGAAGAAAATTACAAAAAGATTTTCAAGCCAAGAAGGACAGTAAGGCACTGATAGCAATCACAGCTGGTACGTCAACCCTAAACCCTAAACCCTAAACCCCTAAACCCTAAACCCTAAACCCCTAAACCGCTAAACCCCTAAACCCCTAAACGCTAAGCCCTAAACCGTTCTGGCTGGCCCTTTCCACCCCCGAAGATCCCGGGCCCCAATCCCTACTCTGCAAGCAACTCATCCCAACAATCTCACGGGTTTCGGGTTTAGGGTTTCGGGTTTAGGGTTTAGGGTGTAGGGCATGGGCCCATCAGGCAAAAAGAGCTGAGAAAGAAGGGCGTGGCTCTAAGCCGCTCAACTCCCCAAAACGCCGACGTCTGGAAGAAGGTCGACCAGTTTAACCTTATGACTGTTTCCCAGAGGGCCCATGTACCTAAATAGTATATACATTAGGGACTACATTAAGGCCAATGTATACACTATTTGGGTACATGGACCCTAGGGTTTGCTTACCAATGATGTGTAAGGCTGTCACCGAGTTTCGAAGCGGGTTCTGGGTTGGATGGAGGCTTTGGACCTAAGGGACCTAATAGGGCTTGAGGGTGTGGGGTTTGTCTTTTTGTCGTGTTGTATGTTTTATGCTTCTGTTGTATGTTTTATGCTTCTGTAGGGCTTGAGCGCCTTGCTTGACAAGGGGTTCGGAACGGACAGTCTGAACCAAGGCTTTTCTCTACATCCCCAAGCCTTTCACAGGGTTGTTTCTACAGGTCAGAGTTCCCCTCAATTCTGGGAGTTCTGCTTTCAGAAAGTTGAGCACTAGTGACACGAGTGTCGTCGAAAATCTCCGCAAGGTGGGGCAAGCCATGGATCTTCGAGATCAACTGGGCCGCTCGGGTGAGCATTTCTTTAGTCATGGTCGGTTTCATCTCTAAGCCGAGACCCAAGACTTGCTTGGTGGGTGGAGTTTGCAGATGTCGAGCCGATACCGATGACCGAGCATTTTTCAGCCCAGCCTGTGCAAAAAGGCATGGTGTCACCTTCCCAGAGCGGAAGCCGAAGAAATTTGGGATCTTCCGAAAATTAGGGGTACCTTATTTAGGGGTCCTTATAATAGGGATCCTATTATTTAGGGTACTATATTAGGGTCCCCTATTTTCGGAAACCCCCAATTTGTCGTTAGTGACATTGCCATGGCCAGCGTGCCTCTTGAGAAGTTTGCCTCGTCGCTGCGGACACCCAGTACCAGAGCAGCTTCAAGCAGTAACTCAGGCGACTTGACGTTGTTCAGAGCTACGGGTTTGCAGCTCCAAGCTAACCTGCCGCTGCAGTTCCACAGCAGCCTTGTACCAGCACAGGCTATGCCCTCACACCTAGTAGGCCCGTGAGTGGAAGTGCCTCAGCTCGGCAAAAAGCACATTTGAAACCCAGGCGACGTCGCCTTTGCGATGTACACCGTGCCGGCCGAGGCGTTCTTGCAGATGACAGAAGTCAAGATGCACGAGGAGCTGCTAGACGCCGGTGTGATCACAGAGTTCGATGAGAGCATGGGAAACGCCATGTTCGTGTCGCACCAGTGGCTGAGTGACACACACCCCGATCCATACTTCCAGCAGCTGCGAACCTTGCAAGAAGCACTGAAGAACATGGTGGCTGGAGCCAGTAAAGTGTATCTACCTGTGCTCTCAGAAATCCAAGGTGGTCGTAGAAGGTGCCCTACTGCCGATGATTTCGCATCCGGCTTTCATGTCTGGTATGACTACTTCAGCATCCCGCAGCGCGCTGATGGCCGCGCATCTTTGGTCCGCCAGAATGCCATTCAGAGCATTCCCTCGTACGTGGCAAGATGCGAGTTCTTTATCGTGCTGTGTCCGGCATTAAGGCACAGAGACCAGGATCGAACCCTAAGCCATGCAACTTGGGGCGAACGAGGGCAGCTAAGTCG